CCCGCAGATCGTCAGTGCTCAAAAGTAACGAATTCTGACCTATGTCTCGAACATGGGCCTGTAGCTATCACAGAGTGGGAGCTGACAACACCCTCCCCAGAGAGAGTATGCAAGCCACCTCCAAGCATGCGGAAAGATTGCCACGTTTTTCGTAGAAAAGTGAAAAATTTCTCAAAGCTCCAAGAATCTTCCTTGATGAAGAAGTTTTTGACAAGACCGAGAAAGAGCTGCAAACTGGGTGGATCATCGGACTCTTGCGCAAGTCAGATCTGGAAGAGGGGACTGTTTTCAGTCGCAAGTTCCACCGATGTGGTTACTTCGATTTGCCAATGCAGTTCCGCGGTCCTGTGGAAAAGCTTTTGGGCTCCTTGCAAGGCGTTCGATCTCACTGCAGCAGACCGGCAACTGCCCGTCAACCCGGGCACGGTCTGGGCTGCGCTTCATCTGCTTCGTCCATCCGGACACTCACGAGTGTGCCTTTTACCGCATGCGAGCAATGCCGTTCGGAATCAGCCACTCCCTGTGGTACTTAGGCACCAAGGCGCTTCTGTTACCTTGCTTTTTCGACGACTATGTGACGTTCGCGTTTCCGGGCCAGGCGAGCTCAGCTGAAGCTGCTGTGACGACAATGTTTAAGCTCCTCGGTTGGGCTTTCGCCGAATCGGGCGATAAATCGCTTTGCCCCGAGCTTCCAAGCCTTAGGCATAGTGGTTGATTTGAACCGGGCTTTTGATGGGGTTGCGTTCTTTAGGAACACGCAGAGGCGAGTGGATGAGATAAAATCGTTCGTTGGCAAAGTCCTGGCGTCGGGGAGGCTTCCTCATCATGACGCGTTGCGGCTTCGAGGCAGGTGCCAGTTTGCTGATTCACAGGTTTTTGGCCGTACAGGTAAAAGGTGCCTTGGCTTGATCACGGCCCACGCGTACGGTGTCGGAGACTTGATAAGCAGCGAGTTGAAGGCTTCTCTTGAAAGCTTCTTGGTGAGGTTGGATGATGAGGCTCCTAAGCTTATCAAGCTCATCGATGATGGAGCTTGGCAGGTCTTCACGGACGCGTCGTACGAGCCAGGGAAAGGGAAAAGTTTTTGTGGTTTAGGAGGGGTTTTAGTTCGCCCGGATGGCGTTCCAGTGAAGTTCTTCTCTTGTGTACTCAGCGAGGCCCAGAAGCGTTTCCTTGGAGAACTTGAGTCTGCTCAAATAATTTTTCAAGCCGAAATGCTTGCAATGGCAGTGGCGTTAGAGGCATGGTCTGAAGACCTCACTGGATGCCCAGTTATTTTCTGGGTTGATAATAACGGGGTGCGCGACGCCGCTATCTCCGGATGCGCCAGGTCATCGATTGGACGCAGACTCCTTGAATGCTTCCCTCGGCGGGAACACCAGCTTTCGGTGATACCGTGGTACGCTAGAGTACCATCTCCAGCAAACCTTTCAGACCTTCCCTCGCGGTGTGAGCTTGAGAGCATGACATTGCTCGGTAGTGAACTACAGAGATCGAGTGTGTTTGGGATTGTCGCTTCCTGCTTGCAGGCAGTCCAAGGCTTAATGTAATGGGTTAAAGTGGGTGTGAAAAAGCAGGGCCCCTCGCAGAGGGCTGCAACTCCCTGCGATGCATGTAGGTTTAGATGTAGTTAGGTCTTGATGCTACTTGGGCATCTGGAAAGCTTGTGCAAAGGCCGAGCTGGAAGGTGATGGCACACCCCATCGTCACCGACGGAAAAAGAGAAGGCGTCGCAACTTTAGTGGCCAGCGAGTGCTTTGCAGAGTTGTTTGCTTGCCTGGACTTTTCTTTTGCAGTAAACTCTTGAAGCTTAAGTTTTCCGCAGCTGTATGGTCCAAGTCGTTCGGCTCGAGAGAACCACACCTTCTCGCTCCGAGATAGTGGGTTCTCTTGAGCATGACACACATCGCGGAGCGATAAGTTTTTATTGCCCTAGTGTAAAAAGGGCAAGCGGCAAACATGTCTTTGCCCGCCAATCAAACAACATGCGTTTTGCGCGCCTCTCCTTTTTGCAGGAATTTTGAAACCTGTGGTTTCTTTACAACATGCGTTGTGCGCGCCTTTCCTTTTGCAGGAATTTTGAAACCTATGGTTTCTTTTTGCACTCCTCAACCACAACTCTTGATTGCTTGAGCTGCTGTCCTCGTGTTGAGGTACGGTCTGAAGACCTCGTCCAACTCCTCGGTCTCTCTCCTTTGTGCACTGGGTGCTTTCGATGCTTGCGCTGGGCGCCTTGCATCCGGGTCAGCTGGGCTGTCCCGTTGTCAAACTTTGTTGAGGACGTCGTCGCCGCCTGTGGAAAAAAAGACAGGGTCAGTGCGAGTGATTGCATTCTTATCCCGAGAATACTGTTTAGATATTCTTGGAATTGAATTTGTTCGAGAGCTGGAAGGTGATGGCACACCCCATCGTCACCGACGGAAAAAGAGAAGGCGTCGCAACTTTAGTGGCCAGCGAGTGCTTTGCAGAGTTGTTTGCTTGCCTGGACTTTTCTTTTGCAGTAAACTCTTGAAGCTTAAGTTTTCCGCAGCTGTATGGTCCAAGTCGTTCGGCTCGAGAGAAGAACCCCATCTTGCAGAAGCGTGGACGATGGATGAGACGGAGGAATGACCTTCCTGAAGAGGGGCCAATCCCGGACTCCTGTCCCAAAGATGTCCTGGGGGCACGTGCCGAGGCACTGGCCTTGACTGCCTAGAATGATTTGGCAAGCCTGGCCGTGAAAGAAAGCTTGGCAGCCACTTTCATCGGGGTTGGAGTGTCTTATGAGGAGACACAAAAGTATGCAACCAGGGTGCCTGTTGCCCAGTACTTGCAAGGGGCAACTCTTGCTGACAGGAAGACTGGCAAGCTGCAGATTCAGGAGCTGCAGCCCTTCATCAAATCAGGTCGTTCAGCAAAGAAGCAGCGCCCAAGGTCAACCATGCGTCAGCAGCTCGCTGTGGCTGGACTCCGAAGAGGGCCAATCCTGGCAGGCTGCCAAAGATGCTTTGTGGAAAGGTTTCGACGAGATACCGAAGCCCGAAATGTTTAAGCACCTTTTGTTTGGGAGATTGCTTGAACCGGTTGCTTGCAATGCAAGCCTGGTGACAGACAGAGTGCATTTGTCTGAAGCAGTCATCGTGAGCTTTGTGCGGGAAAACACACCACTGACGTTGAGGTTCGTTCGGTCTGCATGCTGGCTGCCCTGCCCTAACACCCCAATCTCTACTTTAGGGTTTAGGGTTATGTGTGCCTTAACACTGTTTGCATGGGGTTGGCGAATCTTCGTAATTACACCGAACTGACACTGGAATCCCAAACCTAAGCCCCGTAATCCAAAACTCATTAATCCCCTACACCCGAAACGACCCGAAAAGCTCCAACCCCAAACCCCGGGAAGAAAACCACACAAACTTAACTCATAGAGTTTAGGTTTTAGGGTTTACACTCTCGCAACTCGGACAAGCCAGGCGAGGATCTAGGTTTTAGGGTTTAGGACTAGGGGTTCCCCAAAACCCCAGAAGAGGACCACACAAACTTTAACTAAGACTAGGTCTTCGGTTAGGTGTAAGACCGTAGAGAGCCGCCCCCCCTTCATGCCGATGCTGCCTCATGCCGCGGCTGGACCACTCCGTGCAGAAGATGATCCATTCCTTCATCCTCATCCGCGTATGTCAGCAAGCTAAACCAGCTTTATGGAAGGCGGTTTAGGGAAGCCTGCAGCTTGAAGCGGTCACATGGGATGCTGCTTCGGAACAAGCATCCATGGGCCAACAGGGACAACGTCCACTCAGGCCTCGCCCGTGATACCAGAGCATCCATGGGCCAGCCGTAACAACTTCCACCCAGACCTCATCCATGATACCAGAGCATCACCCAGGTCTTACCCGTTAAATCAGCATCAACTGTACCATATCTATGGTCCAGCCAGGATATAGACTTGGAGGCTTTGTTGCTTTCGGGGTCTTCTTGGTCGCAAGCTCGTCAACCAAAATAAAAGATTTCGATGGGCCCAAACATTGCGCCAACGCAGGTTTTGGTTCGCAAATTTGTGTCACGTGCCACAGCCGCTATAACCCGAGAACACGGAATCCCTGCCGTTGCAGATTCAAATCCATATAGTCATGGTAACGATATGGCGCCCGCCACAATGTCAGCATGTTGTTATTGGTTCGACGATGACAAATGATGTGCTGAACAATATTGCATGGTCATATAATGGTGATGATGGTTGATGGAATGATTCCCTTGCAAATTTGCATTTTGAGCGTATTTGTTTTCATCGTCGTCGAACAAAGTTTTTTTTGCACTTTCATGCAACGCAGGCAGTGATGACCCTCCTTCCCGTCATCAACGGGTCAGGATTTATCATCTTGGCGATCACTCTCATCATCGTCGATGCACATCCCGCATAGGATCGTCTCTGGGTCCATGTCGACGCTAGTTTGCCAATACCCGACATGTCAGCATACAGTTGAGCACGGTGCCAAATATCGTGGCGTTCCTACGTGTTTTGCGTGCATGTTTTAGCGGTTTAGCGTTCGCCAAAATGTTGGCGCAGGTGTAGCATCATGCAAATGCATTCGGTTGCGAGACATAAGCACCATTGTTATTATGTTGGTGTTTTGAACCGTAAAGGTCGAGTCATGATTTTTGCAAGCACACGTTTCAACCTTGCCCACAAAATCCTTCGGCGTGTCCTGGTTCGGCCTGCCGCGATGTGATGAGAGTATTGTGGTTGCGTGAAGCATGCAGCTGGCTTTGGAATGAGCCCCAGGCTCAATCGCAGAAACCATGCAGACGTGTTTGCTCCTGCTGTAGAAATTAGACTGCCATTGCATCACTGATGAGGTCAAACCTCAGCAGACCATAGCGCAGCTACGAAAACATTGCAGCGGAGGATTTCTTCGTCTCCCAATTTGACATGGACAACACCTGAGAAGCCTGCGCGTCCTCGTGTTCGTCTGCGATAAGCAATGTACACTTATGCAAACTTCGCAGGTTGCGGGATCTGATTCGGTGTGACACAGGCGAACATGCCAGGGCCTGAGCACGTTGCTGATGCTCACACAGTTCGGACGCCCCAACACTTACAGTACCCGAAAGGCTGGTCCACAAGCATTGGCGTCAACACTGATCGGCCTATACTTCTCGGCTTCCTGGCACCCCTGCGTGAGCTTCTGTGCTTAGAGACAGACGAGGCGTTGATTGTTCCAGGTGTCCGCCTTGCCATTACTTCGCGCCAATATTGGCGCAGGCTTACAAGCAAATTCGTGACACCCATGGCGCTTGTCCGAGATTTTTGTGACGTTTTGCGGTTATGAGCATGCATGATTTGTGTCATGCCATGTTTTCGAAGAGATTCAGCCGACGCAACAGCTGAGGTGCAAGCTCTTTTGAAGTTGTTCTGATTCCGCTGGATACCGACGAGGCCGTATGCTCGAGCAGTCTGGAGCATTGCATGTCATGACATGAACCCAGTATCGTGGCAGAACATGTGGCAACTCCACATGGCCAAAATGCCATGGATGTCTCTCCCGCTCGACCCTCAGAGCAGACTAGATGTTCGACGCGGCTGGGCGATATTGTAACTGTTGCAACGGTCTTGTTCTACTAGACGTGTGCTCCTACTGTCGCTCAATTGCCACGAGCCAGCCTCAATGTACCACCATCCAAGAGGCAAATCTCTTGTAGCTTCGCACAGTGGACTACATATCAGGAATAGGTCAGCCGTGACCCTGAGTTTCCTCGACAACTCCGGATCGGCCGAAATGCCATGCCTTGACCGGGTCTCAAGACAACGGACTGTTGCTCTTGGCTTGCTGTGCTGCGTTATTAATGGTACAGTATGGTTGGGAACGGCTCCGCGACCGACACAGGGCCGCGTGTGCCGTCGCGCAGAAGGTGATACCGTCGAGCGTTTGAATCGTGTGAGCCGTGTGTCTTCCAAGGTACCAAATGAGGAGTCCGCAGAGGGCTCTTTGGCGGGTGCTGTTGGTGGATCTGTACTCGGCGGGCTGTTGTTAGGCCCGTTTGGTGCTGTTTTTGGTGCAAGTCTTGGTGCAGACTTGGGTCGGCAGAGCACAGATCAGACTTCGGCGGATGCACTAGGGCTGGATGCAGACATGATAAATCTCGCACGAACAGTGGCCAAGAATTTAGCGGATGCGATTGAGGACAAGAAACGTGTTATCTCCGTGAAGGATGACTTGGCCTCTTGCATTGTGAGAATGGAGGGTGATGTGGAGAAGCTGTCTGAGGAAGCCATGGCAGCTTTGCAGAATGGGGATGAGGATGGAGCTCGTGCAATCTTGGGGAGGAAGGTGCCCTTGCAACAGCGGTTAGCATCGTCAAAGGACGAGTTACGGAAGGCTTTGGAACGAGTTGCTGCCGTTGAAGCAGCTGTTCAAAGACTTGAAGGTGAAGCGCTCAAGGTTGCGTCTCTGCTGGAGCGAGCACAAGCAGCCACAGGGTCAGAGCGGACAGCATTGGCCGACGAAGCCTCGGCTATGACTCTCAAGGATCCTCTGCTGGACAAGTTCGACAGACTAGAAAGGGATCGTTAAGTCGCTCCTCCTCCAATCGGTTTCCACAGACAGAAAACGACGGTCCGGGGCGTGCACCTGCCATTGCCAGGCACAGGTTGCACATGGCAGGCTTCATGTGCACACGGGTTTCCAGCGATCCCAGGTCACCGGAGCTGGTTTGGATCGGTCGAGCTTAAATTCGGCAAACCTGCATGAGGTTGAAAAACAGAGAAGCCATTGTCAAGCTGTTCACGGCTTTTTGTGTGACAGAGGCAGGATTGTTTTCGTGGTACAAGCACGAGATTCTGTGGGGTTCTCGCATCATGTGAGGCTCCGCGGCTGGTGATTCTTGACTCAACAGGCACCGTGCGGCTGGCAGGTTTGACCATGTGCACAGCGGCGCAGAGCGGCCCAGGTGTCGTGCAGTTTTGGGGTTTCGAGCACAGGTCATTCGGGAGAATGCTCGGGGAGGAGAAGGCGCTCTTCACGGTCTGCTTGGCTTGGAGCTGCTTCGTTGTAGCTCCCAGTTGTAGCTCCGTCATTTGGCCCAGATCCACTTCACAGCTCAGGTACAATACATGTGCTCAGCGGGGTGAGGGAGATATGTAATCTTGCCGCGGCACAACTCCAACAGACAAGCTGACCTTGTAGCTCTAGAACGTAGCTTGGAAGCAAAGTGTGGACGCGAGCGCGGGTGACACTGCATGGCTGGCTCAGATGCAGGCTCCAGAGGCAGTGCGTGCGTGTGCGTGTGTGTCTCTTGCGTCGGCTTCTTTGTCTCCAGAGTGTGCGAACGTCCCAGTGAGGAGGCTACAGCGCGTGGTCGAACTGGACAGGAGTTCTGGGTCTGTCTGAAGGGCAGACAGGGACTATTCAACGTGCTGGCAACAAGTTTCTGCAGGCAGTGTTTTCTTTTCCAGACTCTAGACTCTGGACGAAGCGGGCATTGTTTGCGACTGATTGCGTGCTCGATGCTGTGCATATGGCATAGGCATAGGACATGAAGCTTCTTTCTGCAGATGGGAAGCCAGCACAGAAGATCTTTGCACACCTCGGCAGGCAGTCGATGTGGCCAAGAATCATGCTGAGAAAGGATTCCGAGAAGGCCTGGAATTTACTTCGTCAAGCAACTACGAACACAGCTGTATGGTCACTCCGGCTGTGTCCGTCAGGAGTTTCTCAGGTCCGTGCAGCGGTGGACCGACAGATGCAAAGCACGGCAAGCTCCTCGCAGCCCACACACGGACGATTCCAAAAGCAACCTTCGAGACATGATTTGCCGAGCAGAGACCTGGCATTATTTAGCCAGCCGAAGCCACGCTCATAGCCTATCGCTTTCTTCACAAATTTGCAATGCTAATCGTTCGCAGTCGTTGCAAGGTGCAGTCAGTGTTCGAGTTTGTACCTGGAACCTTCACGGTTGTGCCGTTGATCCGGAAGATGACATTCGACCCTGGCTTTTCTCGGGCGGGAAGCAAGCTGACATCTACATCGTTGGTATTCAGGACTCCAGTGTAGCCATGCATGCATCATGCTGGAATCAGATGCCTTTTTGTGACATGACTAGGAGCTCGTGGAACTTGGGCCAATGTCTGTTCTCATGAACACCGACGGCCATGAAGAGAGGCAATCTGAGCTGGAGCACAGGATAGAGGCAGCTTGGAACACAACAACGACGGAAGTTCATGTTATCACTGCTGCTTCTGGGTCGTGCATGCTTCCACATGCAGAGCATGACGATTGTCAACGGCAAAATGCCATCACGTCAAGCATTGTGTCTGAGCCCCGAAAATCTTTCCCTCTAGCCCTTCGGGCCGCTATCACAAAAAGAAGATACGGGAACATCATGCAAACGCACAAGAGAGTAGAAACCCGCGTGCCCCGACACGTTGCCTACAGCGCTGTAGCACAGAATGCAGGCACCCTCCACCTTGGAAGGGTAGGACGAACGGCGTGTGCTTCTTCTCTCCGGACTGGATCCCGAGTAGTCCGGGCTCATGCCCGACACCGTGAAGTGTGCGTTCTTGGGGAGTGTCTGTGATAGTCTGTGCTCCGATGTGCCCTGCTCGCCAGTAAGGCCGCCCTGGCTGGAACCGGACTTCATTACCTGAAGGTCTGCAGTTGCTTGGAAGAGAAGAAAATTCAGACTGGGGTGTGGCTGTGTACCACATTTTGCTGTTCTTCCTTTGTGCACGAAGGGACGCAGAGGCAGTGGGGAGAGAGAAGGAGACAGCTAGGTGAATGCACGGGAGAGTTTCGACTCTACTCTGCATGTTTATCTTTTTGATGACACTCTACTTCTTACAGTCCATCCTTGGTCCTTGTTGTCACCGCGAAGTCTGAAGTACATCTCTCTGCATCGTCTAGATTCATGTTGGATGATTTCCCCTTGAGCTGTAGAAAGCAGCGTGAAGTGATCCACAATTGACTTGGCGATTTGCAGCTGGCTTCGGCAAATCAATCGTGGCAAGATCACCTTCGGCCTTTCGTGCCGTTCTGCTTGTACCTTCTCGGTTTCCGGGTGACTTCCCGCAGCCCTCCACATGCCTCACAAAACAAGCCTCACAGTGAGGGGGACTTTTCTGTAGTCCCCTGTATCCACACACAGGCTTGTCACCTTTGAGCAACACGAGTCCAGCTTTGTGTCCTCCTCCCACATACCACCAAGGACGGCAACAGGGGCGGGGTCTAGGCCCAGTAGGCTCGACATGCTTCTTGCGCCCCAGCTATAGATAGAAAAGGTCTATATATGCATATGTATATATATATATATATATTACAGAGAGAGAGAGAGAGAGATACATAGATATGTATACATATGTGTAGAATACTACATATGTAGTATACTACAATATAAGATAATATAATGTATTATTATTATAGTATACTATAGTATAATTTCGTATAGTATATTATAGTAGAGTATAGCATAACATAATATAACGTAAAAGAATGTAATAGCATAATAATGCAATAATATAATATAGTGTACTATACCTTTTTTAATACGATTTGTATATATATATATATATATATATATATATGCATAGTACACAGTTTTTGCTGTTGTTGTATACAACATATAAGGTCTCAGACATGGTGTATAATGTATACATATATAGAAATAAACGAATAAATAAATAAATAAATAAAAAATAATATATATATATATATATAGAACCCGAATAATGATAATCATACTAATAATACAGAAAGGATTTGGTTGTGAGGTGGATATTTTGGTTTCAGGCATGGGATATTTTAGTTGTGACGTATTCAGTGATCGGATACTTCAGGTTAGCAGTATCACGACGGTTTTGTGTACGATAGGGTTGGTATCAGTACAATTGTATGTGCTTGATTGGTTGATTTTTGGTGGGACAACGTTGTAGACTGTTGGCCACATACAACATACAAACGTACAACATAAACAAGAAAGCCACCCCTTGTTTCGAAACACGCCGCTTGTTTCGAAACTCCGGCATTGTAAAGTGTTTACAAACTTGTGGCTTGTGTTTGTTGGTAAACAGCGGCGTTCGTTCATAGCTGGGGGGAGGCCTCGCAAAGCGTACAGGAACACAGGCAATGCAGAAAAGAAAGAGGGAGAGAGAGACAGCAACCCCTTGCGCCACAACCCTGGCGAAAGAAAGAGACAGCTGGTGAATAGTGGTTATCTCTGTTGGTGCGGTGAGCCGGAGTCCCCGTGTGGAGCGCCCGGGGAGACAGCACTGTTTCACGCCGACTAGCGCTGGACACTGGACGTTGCGAGCCCCTCCGGGGGAGAGCGCCTGCGCGCGCTCTTACTCGTTAGCAAGCAAGAGAGCTGGTGGGCTTTTGTCCCATGAGAGAGAGAGAGAGAGAGAGAGAGAGGCAGCCATTTTGGCTCAAGCCATTTTGGCTCAAGCCGCGAG